AAATCTTAACTTGGAAACTATCAAATTTCATCTTTGCTAAATTTTTGGATTTTTTATACTTAAATTAAAGAAAAAAAGTAATTTTCTTTTTATACTACAAAATCTCGACATCTTTAAAACATACAGAAAGACATATTGCCATGAATTGTAACATTTCGTCAATACTTTCTTTATCACGTTGAAGCTTTATTCCAGGTTCAAATATTTCACGGGTAAAACGTATTCTTATACGAAATAGTCCCAAATTTGAATATATATAAAAAAAATTATTATATGTTTTGTTTTACACAAACGGATCTTAGATCCCCAATAATAATTTTAATCATAATAATTTTATTTGAATCACTTTATCCCGCACATAGTGCGGGTTCTTATCTAGTGTAGTTATAAAATTAGATCAATCTTGACTCAAGATGTCAACTAAACATTTGTTGCAAGTGAAACTATAAATTAAAATTAAATTGCCATTATGGAGGAGATTTTGGTGGAGAGATCACATTGTAACCAAAATGTTTCTCATTACATGTCTCATGTGTAGTACTTTGAAAATGAACGAGAAAGATCTTGTGATGGTCCCAATTTTAAAACTTTTAACACACATTTCAATTCTTAAAATAGAGCAAAGGTTTGTAGAAGAGACCGGTAAGATCCTCATGACTATTATCGCCACTTATGTCCGCATAAAAAATATTTTCTGGTGAGCGATAGAATTAATCTATCACATAACTCTCACAACATCTAGTTTGGGATGCAACTGTTGCATGGTTACGCCTAAACTTGTGTCATCCCAATCATACGCTCCCGCGGGTATGGTTACCGGCCGGTATACCAGATTGTCATACTTGTCATCATCAACATCATGATTCACACTATATATGATAGGTGAGATATAGATATAAAAGATATATATCCAAGATGTTAGGAACTTCAAGACCTGCAAAAGAGATTGACCACAAGATTGGGCACTAACAGAATTCAGCAAATGCATAACTTATTGTGTATATGATATATAACTTCATTGACAAAGCTCTATTGGCTTCAAGCAATATTTACTCTTTGTTTTGAGGATCAAAGAGCAGGTCAAGCATGTACCATGTCTACAACAAAATTATCATGCCACCATAATAATCATAAGTAAACAACAGAACATTTTCGCACATTAATCTCATTGAATAACTCTATATACATATAGCTTTGAAGAGCTGAAGATTTGACCATAATAGATCAAGTTTTCTTGCGAAAATCTTATGTTGACGTTTAATCTTATTTAAATTCAAAGATTTTATATTCTCCATGAGAAGATTTCTGCACCAACAAAGACAAATACATTACAACTTACCAAAAAAAAACAAGACAAATACATTACAATAAAAAAAACTCTATAGGCATATAATTGTGTATATATATAAAGAGGGGGAGAGATACTCCACTGAAAGCACCTTAAAACTAAAAACTAAAATAGATTAATACCAAATATTTTTCGAATTCGTTTGATCGATTTTGCAGTTCTCAAAGTCAAAGTAGCATAGATTGTCTTGAAAATGGGCCAGCCAGTCTATGGTTGAAAGAATAAATTTTTACACCGCTAAAAAATAAATAAAGAGTAAAGACAGAGATGCTATAATCATGTAATTACAGAATGCTAAACAGACTTGCAAATCCCTAGCAAATATTGCGAGGGAACTGCTAGTGTATAATTTTGCGACTTGTTTGCAACCGCTTTTCTTCCTCGCAATTTACGCGTGTTTTGCGAGGGAGACACTTCCTCGCAATATTTGCAAGGGAATTGCGACTTTTTACAATTTGCGAGACACGATTTGCGAGGAATAGACTGTCCTCGCAATTCTCTTGCTAAAGTCGTTTTTGCGAGGGAATCGCGGCGAATTCTTCCGTCGCAAATCGACTGTTTTCTTGTATATACGTACCTCATATTACAAAGCATTGGTTTTGTTGGTAGTCGCATGTTTGCCAAAATACAATGCAACAAATGGCTACATCAAGTACTCTGAACTCATCTGTACCAAGCTCAAAATTGTAGAAACCTAATGGCTTTAAAACAGAACGAAGATCAACACATCGCATGAGTTAAAAAAAACGCTATTTGTACCCTATTAGTTATAGTTATGATTTTTTGGGAGTTTTATATTGTACCCACTTTAATCTATTAAATAAGTACTAACTTCAAATGGAATTTCGAATGTTTAATATTAAAGTTATGGGAGTGAATTTGAAAGAGTCAAAACGATTCTATTTTAGTGGAGAAAAACTAAGAGCCATAAACATGGGAGTTAGTGGGAACTCAACATGCAAGAAGAGACGATAGGTTTTTCGTTTTTCGGCATTTTAATCTATGACGGTTTTCTAAATTTTCAGCAAGCAACATGACAAAGCCAGTAGGACCAATTGAATAGAAAAGAAGCGAACCCCAACCTAGCCCTAGAAAACCACCGCAGAGGCACGAGGTAAGAGGAGAAAGAAGCAGGAAACACGTGTGAAGCCGGAGCAAAAGATGGTCGACGGTCACCGTGGAGCTGTTCCACCAACAAAATATTGTATCTCGCTATCGAATATATAATAGCATAGAACATTGTAAAAATGTATACAGTTGAAGGTATGATTTTATTTTGAAGCCAATGAGAAGAATACCTCAAAGATAGACTAACAAAGATCAACATGATTATAAGAAACCAAAACCGTCTCTCTCCAAAATAAGCTTTCATGTTTCATGTAATATGCTGTTTTTTCTTAGAAAGCCTGAACTCAAAGGGTTTACACCTGAATTCATTTGAGACTGATGGTAAGCATAACATACATCAATCTCCCACTTTATAATTAAACACACCACACACCAATCCACCCATGCATGCAAATTTCTTTTTGAATGCTTCCTCTATTGCAATCCCCATAAAGTTCCCCTTTTGAGCCAAAAATGGTAGGTTTTCCATCACCACGCACGTACAAAGACTAAAAATTAGTATAAGCGATATGATAAAATCTTCACCAGCTGAACTAACGGTCGAGGCTTTGTGTGAGTTTGAAATATGGGTGTCAACAACAACAAGGAAAAAAGCATATATAAAATAAACATTGATTTCCAAGAGGATCTTATAAGCAAAAAAAATTAAAAGAGGCAGAGAAACTAAACATACATACAGATCTTTAATTAGGTGGAATATCAGAAATGCCTCTGTTTGGGGCCATCACCATCAATGCTTATGTAATTTGTTAAACTGGTCAGCTCTAGCATTTCAAGGTCTTCTACCTTTTCTTCTAGGAGTTGCATAACCTGTTAAGACCAATAGGCACACGAATATTAGCGTCTTAACTAACATTAACTGGGAATTCATGAGAATGAATAGAAAACATTCAAACATAATCGTTTTCAGAATATTATGTAAACCTTGACATAAAAGAGTGGACGCTTCCAACGTTTCTAAATAAGGGCACCCTTAAAAATCAATAAATAAACCTACAATCCATGAATCTAGGAATAAAACAGTATTCGATCTTAATCATTCCACTCAAAACCATACATATTCAAGATTAAAATTCGATGGATCTTAAGTTTGGAAAATTCGGACTAAGGATACGGTGAAAAAAAAAACACTCGCAGAACATCTTGGGAGACACTTATCATTGTATTGCGTCTGACCCAAACAAAATTATAAGAAGAATCACCGTGAACATCATCTGATAGAATCTCCTGCCATCGAATGAAATAAGAACGTCACTCTATTGTTTAATCAACCAATTTTTTAGCTTCTCTGCTTGAGAAGGGAGATGTTGATTGGGGTTTTGTTTGTCAAAACGCTTTATATTAGGTTTAACTATGACGGAGGAAAATAATTTACAGAAAACACGTGAGATGTGACCGTGAGATCCCCGATTGATACCATGAAATTGAGAACATGATAAAAACACTCAAACAGAAAGAGAGACGTCAACCTGTGACAAATGATCAAACAATAGAATAAGGAGATGGAAGAGGACGTGGCTAGTGTTGATATAGCCTGAGAGATGACGATTAGGGTTCCACTTGTTTTGAATCTGGAGGAAAAATCTCGCTTCCAAAGCAAATGATAGGATGGAGAGACGAGTGTGACGATTCCATGCTTTAAAGGGATAGGGGAGAGAAGTTCAACAGTTTGCCGAGAGTCTTAAAGCTAAAAGGAATTTGATTATAGAGAGAGAAATAGTTATTGAAAACCAAAATTTACTATAACAACGTTTTTAGACTTTATCTTCGGTTAGATTTTGCTGAGTTTTTGAATTCTTTAATATGCTATTATTGATTTTTTTCTAAATACACGTGTCCTCTCCTTAAGTGATGATGTGTCAGAAGGATGGAGAGAGTTCACCTCCTTTCATATATATGATTTTCCTAGTTGTGATATTATTGGTTTTCCATGTAAAAAGTTTAGCAATTGATAAATTAAGGTACCTTATTAATTTATGTAAGAATATTTTGTAATATAATTTAAAAACCATAGTTTGCATTTTATTTTATTTATTTACACTAGGTGAATATCGGCACTATTTGCGAGTTTATATGTTTTAATATTGTTAAAAACTATTTTTATAGTATTATTTATAATAATTTTATGTTTTAAAACAATAGATTATATTTTAGATTAAATATAGTTTTATGAGTTACTTGTAAAATAAAACTACAATTTTCTATTGTTTTAAAAGAAATCAAATTATATTTGTGGCATTTAAGAAACCAAAGTTTGCAAAATCAGAAAATTTCATCAAAAAGAGATTATTGGGAACAAATTTAAGAATTAATCATGCGATTAGAAAATTTCGATTGGTCTTTTGAGTAGACGATCACTATTTTCCATAAAAAAAAAAAAACATGTAGTAAACATATAAATATAATAGTTTAACCAAATGGTTGTATATTTCAATAGGTTAACTAACAAGTTGAAAAAAAAAAAAAAAAAAAAATTCTCCGTTCTCTCTCTTAGCAGCTCCTTTCAAGTTCTTATCTCGCAGATCTTATCGTCGCCGTCCCGATTTCACTTGGGCTCAAGAACATCTCTCTCACTAAAAGATTTCTTCTACTGAGCAGAGCTATCGTCCGAAGATATCATTGTTTTCTGTCGGCAAAGTTTAGAAATCCAGTTTGTGCAAGTTCGGTTCTCCTTGTTTTTGGTGTGGTCCTTTTCTCAAATCCAAAGCTTCTGAAGTTGTTGGTGGTCAGTTTGGTTTCTGGTGGAGTGTTTACAGTTCGAATATGAATCTAGATAAAGCTATTCAAAAGATGTCTATTGGAGATGAAAAACCTCTGATTCTGTCTAATAAACCCCAGTTCTGTTCGATTGAAAGAAATTGTTGTAGTCTTCTTAGTCGTTTTTTAAATCCAGAGAATCAAAGGATGTCTAATTGGATATTAGACATGCCCAGAATTTGGAGACTCAATAATCGTGTTCGTGGTGTGGCTTTGACTAAAGACAGGTTTCAGTTCTTCTTTAAGGCGGAGGAGGATTTAGAAGAAATTTTGAAAATTGGTGTTTGGACACAAGATGATTGGTGTGTTGTAATGGAAAAGTGGATAGAGAAACCCCCAGATGTTTATTTATGGTTTCTTCCAATTTGGATTCGCTTACGTAATATCCCAGTGAATTACTTTACAAAAGAAACGATCTCAGAAATTGCGGAGTGTGTGGGTCAAGTTCAGGAGGTTGTGTTTGATGCTGAAAAATCTCGGGTTCAAGACTATTTTCGTGTTCGTGTTTTGTTTAATGTTTCGAATCCTTTGCGAGCAATTCGAAAGAGGTTCAGCTGCCAACGGGGGAAGTTGTTCTTATACTTTTGATTATGAAAGAATTAGGAAGAGATGCTTTCAGTGTCAACGCCTTACCATGACAAAAATCGTTGTACTTTCAAGCTAGAGACTTCGGCTATCAAGTCTGATAGGTTTGTGAAAGACAAAGGTAAGCAGAAGGAGGTGATTGTGGAAGATCTTGATCTCTTTGTCTCTAAACCTGTTGCATCAACTTCTGTGGTTGATGCTAGGAAAGGATCTGCAAACTTTTTGATTGTGGCTGCTTCAAGAATTCAGGATGAGGATTTATCAGATGAGATGCCAGAATTGGATATTCTAATTGGGTTTAACACAGGAAGTTGCGAAGCTAGTTCTTCAGGTGCAGGTTTAAAGACTTATCAAATGAAAAAGATTAATTCTTCCTGGTCTATAAAAGGAAAACCAGGAAAGGGACTACCTTTGAAGGACAAGGTTAGTCAGAATGCTAAGGAAGTTCTCTTTCAAGCAAAAGTTTTCAAAACTTCCGTGAAAGGAGAACTTGACATAGAATTTGGTGCTGATTACCAAGATATCGAAGAAGCTAAAGGAGTGGTGATTCCCAAAGCTACTTCTTTCCAAGCCTAACCGGCAACCAATGTCGAACCAACATCGTTAAACAAGCACACTTAGTGATAGGCAACCAACTCGTAAGTTTTTTATTTTGTTTTTAGTTTTATTTTACTTTACTTTTGGTGTTTTAGTTTTTTATGAAGGTCCCCTCATGGACTGTTCACAATTCACTGTGACTAGTGCCAACCAGAAGACGACTGGACCGGTCACGAACCATAGATTGATCACACGACTCGTGCATGATGCCGACCCATAGTTGTACCACTGATCGACCCACGATCCATACCGCACTACACCGCCGATCGTACTGCATCATGACCCGTATCCGTACCGTTTTACCCCAACCTGACCCTTGATCCGTCCCCATACCGATGTGTTACGATCGTGCTGTTCCTGTCTTGCTGATCAGCCGACATCCCGCTGATCGACCCGTGATTGACCAATTGTATCGCCCCACCGACCCATGTTCGTCCCACATTTCAACCTCCATGCACCATCTATAGAACTTGAGAAAAGAAAGAACACAATGATTTCAACAAGAATAACTCTCTTTATTGATGTTTAGAAAATAACTCAAAACTAAACAATGGTTTCTCTCTTTCTCAAACTCTCTCTTAAACTCTTAAGGATTACCACAACTTTGGTATCTCTTTATATAGAAAACCTAAAGACCTAATCCAAGTCTAACTAGGTTTAGCATTTAGATAACTCCTAAACACTTTTGGATAACTTCCAAATCTCTTAAACTATATCCTTTTATTTGCTAACTCATCCCTCAAGTTAACTAACTCTTCAAGCTTAACTCAACATTCTCCCCCTTAAGCTTGAAGTTATCCTTCTTCACATCTTGAACTCCAATGAGACTTCTCATCTCCTTAAATTTGATCCTTCCAAGTGGTTTGGTTAGAATATCCGCCCTTTGCTCATTACCGGGAACATGTTCTACCTCCACTTGCTCATTTTCCACACACTCTCTAATGAAATGGTACCTTCTATGAATGTTTTTGCTTCTCCCATGGAACACCGGGTTCTTAGTCAAAGCTATAGCCGACTTGTTGTCAATCCTCAACAAAACTTTCTCGCCTTTGATGCTTAATATTTCACTCATCAATTCCTTGAGCCATATAGCTTGTTTTGCTGCTTCCGTAGCCGCCATGAATTCTGCTTCACATGAAGACATTGCGACAGTGTCTTGCTTTTGTGAGCACCAAGTAATCGGGCAATCATCAAGAAAGAATATATGGCCTGTTGTGCTTCTTCCATCGTCCAAATCAACATTATGTGAGCTATCACTATAACCTACCAGCTTCACCTTTTCTGTCCGCTTGAAGAAAAGACCAAGTGAAGTGGTTCCACGTACATATCTCAAAACTTGCTTTAAGGCTGCACCATGTGACTCTTTAGGCTCCTGCATATATCTACTCAAGACTCCAACACTGTAAGATAGATCCGGGCGTGTGTGTATCAAGTACCGGAGGCATCCTATGCTTCTTCTGTAATCTTTTTCACTGATACTCTTCTCATTCCGAGATTTAGAGAGTTGTAGGTTCATCTCCATTGGGATATGCGAGAGATTACAACTTTCCATCCCTGCTTCTCCTAGTATTTTTGCTGCATACCTCTCTTGTTTTAGACTAATACCATTCTCATGTTGATGCACTTCGATTCCAAGATAGTATGTCAGCTTACCAAGATCGCTCATCTCAAACTTGGTTCCCATTTCTCTTTTAAACTCTCGTATTAACTTCAAGGAGGATCCTGCAACAAGTAGATCATCTACATACACAGCCACGACAAGTAAATGCCCTTTCTCTTCTCTTTGATACAATGACGGTTCTTTAGAACACCTATGAAACTTGAATTCTCTGAGGATAGCATTTAACTTGTCATTCCAAGCTCTAGGTGCCTGTCTTAAGCCGTAGAGAGCTTTATTCAACTTATAAACTTTGTTTTCACTTCCCAAGACTACAAATCCCTCTGGTTGACTAACATAGACTTCTTCTTTCAACTCGCCGTGCAAGAACGCGGTTTTAACATCCAGGTGATGTATTTCCCAACCATTAGAAGCCGCCAATGCGATGATAAAGCGAATAGTTTCAATACGTGCCACTGGAGCAAACACTTCATCGAAATCAATGCCATGTCTCTGAACATATCCTTTGGCTACGAGTCGTGCCTTGTGCTTGTTAATACTTCCATCGGCGTTTCTTTTAAGTTTAAAGACCCATTTCAAGCCAATTGCCTTAACACCAATGGGAAGACTAACCAAGTTCCATGTTTTGTTCTTTTCTATTGATGAAAGCTCTTCTTTACATGCGTCTGTCCACACTTTGAGTTCTCTGGCTTCATTAAAATCCCACGGTTCATCGTTGATCACTGTCAAGAGCCTTTCACACTCTGCTTCAGCCATAAGAACATAGTCATTCAGATATGCCGGCTTCACAATGGTTCTACCCGATCTTCTAAGCTGCGGTTGTGGTGCTTGTTCACTTTCATCATCACCATCTTCATTGTTCATAGCTTCACTATCTTCTTCTTCCTCTGTATCGTCTTCCACTTCTATGATACTTTCACTTGTAGTTTGAGTAATCCGTGTGCCTTCCTCTGTTTCAAGAGTATCACTTTCTCTTAAGCCTTTGTTACCAAACTCTCCCAAGCTAATAGAGAATGTTTCAGACTCTTTGTGATCTTCTCTTTCTTTATTTTTCCAGCTCCACCCTTTACTCTCATCAAATATGACATCACGGCTCACCACTATCCTTTTAGTTTCAGAATCAAACAATCGATATGCTTTGGTCCCGGGCTCTGTTCCTAGATGTATCAAGGTTCTTGACCTGTCATCAAGCTTCTTTCTTCCCACAGCTTCTGTTCTTGCATAACAAACACAACCAAAAACCCTAAGATGCTCAAGATTTGGTTTTCTCCCTTTAAACGCTTCATATGGGGTTGATTGTACCAAAGATCTTGTTGCAATCCTATTGATCAAATAGGTAGAATGTCTAACAGCCTCTCCCCATAGAGAATTTGGTAAACCCGTGTGCTTTAGAATGCTCCTAGTCATCTCCAAGAGGGTCCTATTACGTCTCTCAACAACACCATTTTGCTGAGGAGAATAGGGCGCAGTCAAGTGTCTCATGATTCCGTGCTCATCACAGTAGGCTTGAAATTCATTTGACACGAATTCTCCTCCTCTATCCGTACGTAGTGTCTTGATTTTTTCTCTTGTTTCTTGTTCCACACATACTTTGAATTTCTTGAACTTTTCAAAAGCCTCACTCTTCTCTCTCAAGAGAATTGTCCACATGTAACGGGAGTGATCATCAATGAGGACAAAGACATACCGTTTCTGAGCCGGAGTGGAAGGTGTGATAGGTCCACAAAGGTCCCCATGGATAAGCTCAAGTCTTTGACCAGCTCGATAGGTAGTTGCTTGGGGAAAGGATTTTCTAGTCTGTTTTCCAAGTAAACACGACACACAAGTTTCCTTTTCAACTATAAGCTTTGGTACACCAGTCACAAGTTCTTTGTTGATCATCTTCTTCATTGTCTCCAGATTAGTGTGTCCTAACCGTGAGTGCCACAAGTTAGACTCGGTTGATGTGATCAATTGTAGACAATTCGGATTTTCCACATGTAAAGTTACTTTGTATAGGCGATTTCTCGATCTTGTTGTCTTTACCAGTAAGTCTCCAGACCGGTCATAGAGTGTCAAGAACTCTTCCTTCATACGTACCTCACATCCTGCTTCTGTGGCTTGACCAAGACTTACTATATTACTCTTGAGATCGGGTATATAGTATATGTTCTTCAAGACTTTGAGTACCTTTTTCTTACCGTCTTCAAATGCAAACTGAATTGATCCTTTTCCTCTGATATCAATGCGTGAATCATCTCCAAAACGCACCTTTCCCACTATTGTCTCATCAAGATCTAAGAAGAAGGATCGATTCCCACTCATGTGGTTACTCGCACCATTATCAAGATACCACACATTAGTTGAGTCTAGATCAGCTTCAAAACAACTTGGTTTTACCTTGTTTTCATTAAGATAAACCACCTCATGCATCATTAATTCCTCAGCTTCATGTGTTGCATCATCCTTCTTTTCAACAGTTTCTTGTAGCTTAAGCAACCTATCGGGACAATCCGATGCATAATGCCCTAATTTATCACATCGGTAACAAGTTACCATTGACGCATCTCTCTCCTTTTGTCTGTATGATCCGTTTTGATAGTTGTTAAAACGCCCGCGGCCTCTACCTCGCCAATTAAATCGACCTCCTCTGCCTCTTCCTCTGTATCCTTCAGTATATGTTGCTTGTGAGTCCGTACTCGCATACATCAGCTTATTATGATCATCGGGTTGCTCTTCTTCTTCATCAACAATCCTTTCTTCGTACACTTTTAATCGTCCAACAATGTCTTCGAAAGTTGTTTTGTTCAAGTCAAGAACCTGTTCAAGAGCTGCGACGATGTGTATATACCTCTTCCTAGGTAAACTCTTGAGAAACTTTTTCACAAGTTTCGGTTCTTCAATGGTTTCTCCAAGGGATGCTGCAGTAGAGGTGATCTCCGATAGTTTCCCTGAAAAAGCATCTATTGAATCTGTCTCCTTCATCTTGATTCTATCAAATTCAGCCATTAAAGTTTGTAACCTAGCTTCTCGAACTCTTTCAGCTCCAACATGTCTTCCCTTAATTGCGTCCCAAGTTTCTTTTGCCGTGTCGTGGTCTCCAACTTGTAAGATCAAGGCTTCTGGTATGGATTGGAACAATAAGGCTATTGCCACATCGTTCTTCTCTTCATCTGGGTCTCCCGGATCTATGGTTTTCCACACCTTATTTACCCTAAGAGCAACTCTCATCCGCATAGCCCAAACAGTGTAATTGGAGGAAGTAAGCATCGGACACTTTATGGCAGAGGATCCGATTTCTTTTGAAGGCGTTTTCGTGTTTGGTTTCTCATCTTCATCTCCTGACTCCGACATCTTGAATTGTCTTTCACGTTAAGGCTCTGATACCAAATATAGAACTTGAGAAAAGAAAG